TATTTTACAGTGATGTCCGCGAAGAGACACTTGAGGTAGAGGTTTACAAAGTAATAGGCATCATATCTCACGGTGCACTTGCAAAATTTAAAAATCCCAGTGCCTCGGAATGTTAGCTCAGAGATTACTCACAGCAGCTGGTACACATGTAGTCTATTATGACCCATCAAGTGATATGGAGAGAATATATATATATATATATATATATATATGAAGAAATATAGTCTTAAGATGTGCTATATATATGGGATAAAGTGCTCAATATCAGTGATAGAGCGTGTTCAAATATAAAAGTGAACATAGAAGTCAACACTTAGAGGCAACAGTCTGTTTCATGCTATATGCAATCGTCAGGCCATATATATATATATATATATATATATGTATATATATATTATGAAATGGACAAAGCCCGACAATTATTTTAAGACATTTTATGTTTATGTTCATATATATATATATATATATATATATATATATATATATATATATAGAGAGAGAGAGAGAGAGAAATGTTTAAGTAAATGCTCTGTTTATAATAAACAGTATTTTAACAACAGTTACCGGCCTGAATGTCCGAGAAATTTTCATAGAAAATATTCGTCCTCAGACAGATATCGAAGCTGTATCCTATACGGAACCGTCATATAGCCTGACGTGCCTTAACCGATTGAGCCACAGAGGATTGTTCGGTTAGCAAGGTCTATTTTACTGTCTTTAAACTACAACCTTCCATGATTCTCTCACGTACATTCATATCTGCTCATGGCGTATCCAAATGTAAAAAAATGACGTCACACATTACGAACAGGACAAAATTTCTCAGACATTCATGTCGGTAAATGTTGATAATACTGTTTATTATAAACAGAGCATTTACTTAAATATTTGTATCTAAAAAAAAGAAAGAATATGTAAACATAAAAATGTCTTACAATATATATATATATATATATATATATATATATATATATTATACAGTGTTACATTAGAACCTGCACATACCCACTACGGAAATGTAGAACTTGTTTCAACCTTAAAAAACCGAAAACTTTTTTAACGTTTCATCAGGTGGGAAATCAAGAGTCGCACCGTGATTCCCCTCCTGATGGAACATTAAAAAAAAAGTTTTCGTTTTTTTTAAGTTGTAACAAAATGGACAGTTTTGTAGTGGGTATGTGCATGTTCTAATGTAACATTGCATAATAAATAAATGTTTACGGCTCTACCTTTTTTTTTTTTATTGAGCTCTGTTTAATGTTTTTGAACGCTGAATTCTTACTGTTCGTACTTTTACATATATATATATATATATATATATATATATATATATATATATATATATATATATATATATATATGTGTGTGTGTGTGTGTGTGTGTGTATAGCACAGAGTATATTTCTTCATATATATATATATATATATATATATATATATGTAAATTTTTATCACACAGATAATCATGTTTGAGATATAGTATATTGTGGGAGTTTTCTTTTTTTTTGTTCTTTTTCATATGCGTTTTATTGATTTGAAAATAAAAAAAGACAATGTTCAACTTGCAAATTACAAATTGAAATTATTTATTTTTGTTTTACGATATAATATCCTCAATGAGTTATTTAATGCCGACAAGATTTTTATTGCTGCTAATATTTTTTTCCAAATGTATTATTTTGCGAAATTAAACGTAACGTTGTTTTTAAATTTTGGAATGGTAGCTTCAATAATACTAAACATCGCTTGGATTTTATTACTTTTATTTACGCCTCAGCGTGTTGCAAAAACGATTCTAGTAACATGAAAATTTGCTAATCGAAAAAAAAAATTTAAAAAAGTAACGACATAAAAAAATCAATAAAATAATAATGGTAATATTAGCCGTTTCCCTATAAGGAAACATTGGATATTCATTGACCAAGCAGCCAGTACTGCTTCGTTTGAAAATTATAAGATCTTTCCCTTTAAATATTTTTAAGAAAACAAGTTTCCCAAGTTAAGCAGCTGTTATTACTGTTTCCTATATTGATGAGGGTTTCCTTCCTAACTTTATGTTTTAAGTGGTGTGTAATGTTAACATTTTGATTGTGTCATTATTTTATTTTCTTGTTACTAGTACTGTTCATTTTAGTTGTTACTGCTGTTGATAGTCCTCAAGTGATGTGGTTTCTGTTATTTGGTATAGTTCTTGGTCATTCTCTAGCGCTAGTCCACAATTTTCAAAGAATGATCTTTGTCAATGTCATTACGCTTTGGTCGCTCAAAGACATTTTTTTGCCATAGATCATAAGAAGATGTTGCTTACAGCTGACAGTTTAGATATTTCTGAACAGGTTTGCATGTCATGCATGACATCCGTATAAAAGTCTATATCTGGCTAGGCTATTTATGAACATCATTCGAGTTTTCAGGTTGATGTTTTGGTTTAGTAGCAAGTTGTGGTGTTGGGCGAAACTACCCTTGGAACAGCCTATTCTATGTTCATTTTCATTTTCTTCTGTACTTAATTTGTTATAGCTGATCCATTTGTCGTGGTATCTGATCTGTTTCGTATTTACTTATTCAAAATCCTGTATTTTTATGTTGGATTCAGTGTAATTGTCATCACTATTTTCAATCCAATTTCAGATCATAGTTTCTGTCTTGGAAAGGTTTATCTTGAGTACCATTTATTGGGACACTTGACAGAGGATACTGATCTTCTGTTCAAGATCTATTCATTCTTATCCAAACTAGGAACCCCCTATGCCATCAATATTGCCGCCTTCGTTGCCATTACATTGTCCTCGAGAGGGAAGGCAGGAGTATTGTCTTATATTTGCAGACTTTCATGAGACGTTGTATGAAATACTTAAATGATCAGTGCCCATCATATGACGTCTGTGTTTGTAAATCGGCAGAACAAAATCTAGGGTGAGATTAAATAGCCTCGGTTTCTCAGTGTCATTCGCTTGATGATGTCTAAAATGTTTCCATATTCCTACCCTCGCCAGACATGTAAAATTCCATAGATCGATACATTTCCGCTATTAGATCGATTCATTCAATGGATTCGGAGATTGGAAGGCGGTTTCTAATGGATGAGAAGTCTCTATTGATGTGGTCATGTACTGCCGTGAGATTGAGAAAGTTTGCCTACACTTATCTATAAGAGAGGTAAGCAATTTCTTGGAGTTGTTTGATGATATACATGCCATCATTGCATGTATTACCTGAACGAAAAATAAACTAGCTCGTGAGGCGTTGATTTTCATAAAACGATGACAAGAGTAGAATGATTCATCTAAAAGTAACAATATTAAAAGTTAACAAATATTCACATACGTCTGCAGTAAGGTGCAGTTTAGACATTTCTGGACGGAATTGGTACCATGCATACCGCCATGAATATGAAAGTCTCAATATGACGAGGCTATTTAACAATAAGCTGTGGTTTCACTCATTTCCTTGTGATTCTGTATCCCCAGTCTATGCCATCCGATGAAGGAGAACCAACTTGAATTCATTTTTAATAATTGATCTGAGAAAACGATTATATAGAGCTGGTAGTTTAAACATTTCTGTAAGGGTTGGATGTCATTCATGGCATACATATAAGAGTCTAGATCTGACAAAGCTTTTTAGAAAAACATTTTGGAAGCCATTTTTAATCGTTGATCTGAGAAAACAGTTGTATAGAGCTGATAGTTTAGACATTGTTGAACGAGTAGCACACCATGCATGGCATCCATATAAGAGTCTAGATCTGATAAGGCTTTTTAGAAGAGAATTTTGGAAGCCATTTTTAATCCTTGATCTGAGTTCGGAAGGCGAGAAGAGGAAGTCACTATTGATGTGGTCATATACTGCCGTGAGGTTGAGAAAGCTGGCCTACACTTTTCTATTAGAGAGGTAAGCAATTTCTTGGAGTTGTTTGATGATATACATGCCATCATTTCATCTATTACCTGAACGAAAAGCAAACTGGGCCGTGAGGAGTTTACTTTCATAAAACCATGACAGCGTAGAATGCTTCTCCTGAAAGTAACAATATTAAAAGTTAACACAGCTTTTATGATGTAAACAAAGAATCACATACGTCTGTAGTTAGGGTGTAAGTCATGATTCACTGATTTTATTTTTTTATGGCTTATCAAACCTTTGTAGATTATTTGAAGCCGAAACAAATTTTGCATTGTTAGAATAATAATATTTTTGGTGATTAACACTTTTTTGAGAACTACAATGATTTTCTCCAAGCAGAATTCATACTATTTAACCCATAGCTGTAGATGATGTGATGGATTCATTCCTTTGATTTGGTTTGGCTTGTTTTACGGCATATCAACATTAATGGGTTATTTAATGCCGACAAGATTATTATTACTGGTAATGTTTTTCCCAAAATGTATTGCTGGTAATAGTGTTTTTTACAAAAATAATTTGCTAGTATTAAAACGTATTTTCACACGTTTTCATCCCAGTTTGGGGGTTAACTATTTGCCCATAGCTGGTGCCTTTAAAAGAGCTCCCACCCAGGGTCAAAAACATCAGCAATTAAGAGGTGGTTCCACGCTCCTCAAAACCTCCTGACTAGAGGCCTTGCTGTTGCTTGTAGTCTATAGGTCTTACCCAGGACTAGAATGTAGTTTATCGCCTTACCCAGGACGAGGATATATTTTATCGCCTTACCCAGGACGAGGATGTAGTTTATCGCCTTACCCAGGACGAGGATATAGTTTATCGCCTTACCCAGGGTGTCCTATTAGAATAGAATAAGTCCAGATAATCCAAGAGATGGTCTGCAGAATGAGATCAATCTACCCCCGTAGATTAAAAAAAAATATTTCAGTTTATCCAGGTTAACAAGAAACTGATGATAGCCGGAGAGCACAGTGGTCGAAACGTTTTGAGTTTAAAGAAAAAGATTAGGGGTGTAGCATAAATACTAATAATTAATAAAAAGAATTAGGAGATAATTTCCATGTCAGTGGAGTCTGTAAAACGTTGACCATGTGTCAACCTCAGCTAGCCCGTAAGCAAATGCCTGCAGTCATTTAAGGATTTATTTCTACGCCGGCCTTTGCACATAAAATTACAGACACCCGTCCATATTCTCAAGCGAGCACTGAACATTGAAATACACACACAGATCCTCTGCCCCACTCCAGTCATAGATCAATACCAATCACTATTGATATTTATGATTTCTCCATTGAAGCGATGTCTCATTTCTCATATCTCTCTTAATTCTATTCAGTCTTTGTCAACACACCCCGTGTCACCTCATTCCGACCTAGAGCCGCACTTTCCAACCCAAACGTCAGCCTCTGCTGCGCAACATTCCCAGATTAAATCTGTTTCATTCGTCTTTGAGAATGTTTATAAAAACCGCGTCGGGGTCTCTCTATTACGCCATTACTTTCATTCATACCGGATCCTAGTTCCAATAAATCGTGAGCTGCTTTTAATCAAACGACAGGCCACGTAAGTAGCGAGAAGCAAGAGGGTCGATGCTGTCGCCGAAGTGGTAGGAGGCAGAGATGACTTAATTGAGTGGCGCAATAAGACTCCAGTGATAGGACAAGAATAAACGAACAAACGTGTGTGTGTATGGGGGTGGAGGACTGATGGAGTGCAACAAAGAGATCGGTCGACCGGCCGGGCGGCCGCCATATTAAATCTTGAGTAAAAAAAAAATGGCGGAAAAATAGAAACGAATTATGGGATATTTTTGGAACTGAATGAAAAAATATAGTGTTTAAGGATTATTATTAATATTGCTTAATGAGAAGATGATGTTCTGATGCTGAAAGGATTATTTGACGGCAGGAAAAGTAAGCAGGGGTTTGGTTTACTGGCTATCGAAAGTAATCGAAGTCGGGTTATAAATTGTAGAAGATGGAAAAGTTGTGTAAAGAAGGAAGCAAAGAAAAATCTTTTTGTGGAAGTATTTTAAATATGAAACGGATGAGCATAGTGAAAAGAACGGAAATGAAATCAAGTGAAAAAAAATAAGAAAAAGAAGGAAAAAATTCAGAAAAACTGGAAACTGAAACAAAAAAAATTAAAGGAAACGAAACGAAAAATAGCAAAAAGAAGGGTATATATAGAATAAGGATTATTAAAAAGGAAGGATCTAGATCACTGAAAGAAATGAAACTACATAAAAAACAATCACGTAAATAGAAAGAAAATGAAAAAGAGAAAAAAAACTGAGTTTATAGGTCGCAACTCTAATGAGAACGAGATAAAAATGGAAGGGAAGTGAATGAAATAAGAAAAGAAGGAGTATTTTGTAATGAAGGAAAATAAATAATAAACCAATGAGAGAAAAATTGAGAAGGAAAGCCATATAAAGTTTAAAGAAATAAAACAGGATCAAGGTTTAGCGCAAATAAGGCAAAGACTGTAAAGATTGACAAAAAGAAAATAAAAGAAAACTAATTTTTTTAAACAGAAGAGATAAAAAACGAATTACTTCTTGCAATGTCTCAAACAAAACTAAAAATGGAAAATTAAGACAAAACATTTATATTAATAAAACTGGTAGGGGCAAGGAAATTTGAACGATTGTGAGAAATATTGAAAGATGTGAAAAAAGAGAAAAAAAAATAAAATACAACAGAGATAGTATGTCCGGGAAAGAAACAAATTGTATAGTGATAGGTAAATGACTTCCAAATTAGCATAGCTAAGCCAGACTGACTATATAAGAGCCCAAGATCTAAGGGGAGGGGCGAATATAATACGCGGGTCTTGCGAGTCGAGCTTTCACGATTCGGTGTGTCGTATCTCGTTTATCACCTCTCACTTGTGTCTTAGTCTTCAGACAGAACTCAACCCCCACAAAATGAGAAGTGTCCTGTCCCGGGGAAGAGTTACTCCAACTAGAGAGACGTGGGGATCGGTAGCAATGGCGATGCCAGAGAAACACGACAGTTGCAGCAGCTGGACTATTTTTGAACCTGGCCCGGTTGCACGCGCTCAGATTGGCAGCAATCTTGTCACCCCCCCACTCCACCAAAAAAATAATGACAACAATAGAAAAACAAGTCATACAGTATTACAGTGCACATGTACTGGATTCAGTTCTGTTCTCTTTCATTGACGCTGTCACGCATCGAAAAGATCTATATGAGCACCATCATTTTCGAAGTACAAAATGATGCGTTGCCATGTCCTGTTTGATATTTTACAAACCTGTGCTTTCTTGATTGCTGAAAAGGCTCTCCGAACGGCGTCATTCAACTGATGGCTATTCTGGTATCGTTCTTGTGATACACTCTCTGCTTGAGAGAGCGTTGAAATAGAAAATTATATCATACAGGGATGACAAGACTTTCGGACCATCCTGTATAATAAACTAACCTCGTTTCACATCCTGCCTACGTGGGGCGGCATATAGATATCGAGTATAATACGAGAGAATAGTATTCTAACTGGCAGAGGATTTCGCTTCCTTGTCAATGCACGCGTTAAGATTTACTGGTCCGAAAGTCTTGTCACCCCCTACCAAAAAGTAATGGGAACAACAGATGTCATACATTAATACAAAGCACGTGTACTGGATTCAGTTTTGTTCACTTTCATTGAGGCTGTCACACAACGAGACGGTCTGGATGATAAAAAGTGAGGGATCAGTTTTGTATTGTTCTTTAGCATTAAACACATGCGCCATTTCTTGGCCATAGTACAGGGTGGTCCGAAAGTCATATCACCCCCTACCAAAAGGTAATAAAAACAATAAAAGGAAAAAACTAATACAGTAATAGAAATCACGTACTGGATTCAGTTTATTTTCTTTCTTGAGCATTCTGGTATCGTCCATGTAAAACTTTTTCCAGGGTGTTGAAATAGAAAATTATATTATATAGGGATGACAAGGCTTTTGGACCACCTTGTAAATTACATTAACCTTGTTTTGCTTCCTGTCTCCGTGGGGCGGCAAGTATCGTGTATAATACAAGAGAATTGTATTCAAACTGGCAGACGAGTTCGCTTCTCTACCAATGATATTAGCGCACGAAGCAGTACTTATCTTTCGGAACGTGGACGGGTTTATTACCCGGCACGTGATGCGTTGCCAAAAAAAAGAGAGGGTTTGAGATTTATTTCTCGGTACTGGCAATAAAACCAAAACTAAACCTAAATACGTTTCACATTATATTTCATCGTAAACCTGCGTCTAAATATGACACTTGTGTCTTGCTAGATTCCGTTTGTCGTGTTTTGTTTATCATCTCTCAGTCGTGTCTCTGTTTTCGGACAGAGCGGAACTGAATTGTCTCTTTGTCTTCGGGCAAAGTGCAACCAAAATAAGTTAAGAGGTATCAGATCCTGGGGAACAGCTGTCCGGGGCAATGACTGTTGACCATGTTCTCCATAGTCTATGAATATAAAATACAGCGCAGTATGTAATCTGTTCAATGAAACAACGTTAAAGATTAACACTCACGAGTCAGATATTTTACTGAATCTGACTATATCGCCAATACCACCAGCAGCTGTTCTGTTATTCTCCAGTCTTCGATATCAAAGACTGACAGTGATATTTAGCCACCCTTCCACGAGGGTTACTTGTGGCACAAGGCCGGGATTAACGTGGGATCTCTGAGCCCGTAGTCTCAGCCAAAAATATTCCCTATTCGAACGCGTATAAACGGGTTCAGGGGCAGTCAACGTCCCCGAACGAGACTCTGCCCTTCGGCGGAGCCTCGTTATCAAAGGCTGGCAGTGAATATTAGGGAAAAACATGGCCGCCTTTACACGCGTCGCATTGAATATTTTGAGCCTTCTGATTAGTTAACCCTTTTTATTGGTGAACTATAAAATGAGTCAGCTCATTTTGGCTGGCTCACAAGTACACGAGGGTACCCCAAAATTCCAACAGTGACCATTGAAATACACACACGCATTCATTTCCGTTCTTTTCAGTATGCTCCTCCATTTCATATTTAAATACTTCCGGCACCACCGACACTTACCGGGTTTGAACTACTTTTTTGATTTGTCCCCGGTTTACGCGTTCGATCTCTTAACATTAAATTAACCCTCCCTTTGAATCTTACCTGTGTGAGACAGTAAGTGGATATCGAATATGTTACACAAGAATAAAGACTACCGCTGAACTGCGAAATACGAAGGAAAACACATTTTTAAATATTTCATCCCAAGCAAGGCAATAAAATCAATAAAAAAACGCAAGGGGTTCCTGAGTGTTAGGGAATATGAGAAAAAAAAACTATTATTAAGGGGAGAAGGTAATAAAAGAACAAGAAATAAAATGACAGATGATATCGATTGACGTTGCATTTAAATTTTTGAAGATCACATTTAACTGGAAAGCAAGAAGCCGGGTGAGAGCTCCATGAACGAGAAGTGCGATTGAAGAAACTGTCAATATAGAACTTACGGTTACATCTAACACTTTTCAGCTGTAAAATAATGGAAACTTGCCGGCATTCATGTCAAACGCTTAAATTCATAATGTCTAGGTACCATAGCGGAAAGTTCATCAGAAGAATTACCATGAAAATATTTATAGAAAATATTTATAGCAAAGAAGCTACGCTGGGAAAGTGACTGAAGCCGAAATGCTTGCTCAGGAACAATAACATAGCAGATCCTTCTTTGGATTTTATCAAGAATACCTAAATATATATCAGGAACACCAGACCAGATGTAGTGCCAATATTCAAATCAAAGACGAATTGAGGACTTATAAATATGCAAGACATGTTTTGGCGAGACATTCTTAGCTGCAGATTTAGCAATTGATTCAATATACTGTTTCCTCTCCATTTCCGGTGAAAATAAAGTCCAAGAAGGTGCAATGAGTCGGTCTCTTGGAGATTAGCATCAGCCATGCTAATTTCTAGGACGTTCATATGGTTGATCCTAATATGTAGACACAAATATACACTCAATACTTTCCCCCACAAACTCAAAAGACTATCAATTGTTACTTCTAAACTCAAGTATGCCTTCAGTATACCCTGTGAGTATAATTTCTCGAAGCCTTTCTTTCTCAGTGTGTATTCAAGAAATACGAGCTGTCTTTTTCTTTCTTTCTTTCTTTCTTTTTTTCCTTCTTTCTTTCTGTTTTAAACCTTACCTATGAACATTTCTTTCTTTCATTCTTTCTTTCTTTCTTTCTTTCTGTTATAAACCGTACCTCTGAACATTTCTTTCTTTCTTTCTTTCTTTTTTTCTTTCTTTCTTTCTGTTTTAAACCTTACCTATGAACATTTCTTTCTTTCTTTCTTTCTTTCTTTCTTTCTGTTATAAACCTAACCTATGAATATTTCTTTCTTTCTTTCCTTCTATCTTTCTTTCTTTCTTTTTTTCTGTTATAAACCGTACCTATGAACATTTCTTTCTTTCTTTCTTTCTTTCTTTCTTTCTTTCTTTCTTTCTTTTATAAACCGTACCTATGAGCATTTCTTTCTTTCTTTCTTTCTTTCTTTCTTTCTTTCTTTCTTTCTTTCTTTCTTTCTGTTATAAACCATACCTATGAACATTTCTTTCTTTCTTTCTTTCTTTCTTCCTTTCTTTTTTTCTGTTATAAACCGTACCTATGAACATTTCTTTCTTTCTCTCTTTCTTTCTTTCTTTCTTTCTTTCTTTCTTTCTTTCTTTCTTTTATAAACCGTACCTATGATATTTCTTCCTTTCTTTCTTTCTTTCTTTCTTTCTTTCTTTCTTTCTGTTATAAACCGTACCTATGAACATTTCTTTCTTTCTTTCTTTCTTTTTCTTTTTCTTTCTTTCTTTCTTTCTTTCTTTCTTTCTTTCTTTCTTTCTTTCTTTCTTTCTGTTATAAACCGTACCTATGAACATTTCTTTCTTTCTTTCTTTCTTTCTTTCTTTCTGTTATAAACCGTACCTATGAACATTTCTTTCTTTCTTTCTTTCTCTCTTTCTTTCTTTCTTTCTTTCTTTCTTTCTTTCTTTCTTTCTTTTATAAACCGTATCTATGAACATTTCTTTCTTTCTTTCTCTCTTTCTTTCTTTCTTTCTTTCTTTCTTTCTTTCTTTTATAAACCGTACCTATGAATATTTCTTTCTTTCTTTCTTTCTTTCTTTCTTTCTTTCTTTTTTTTTTCTTTCTGTCTGTTATAAACCGTACCTATGAACATTTCTTTCTTTCTTTCTTTCTGTTATAAACCGTACCTATTAACATTAATGAGTATGCCCCAATTCTCATAAATACCTTGGACGCTATTGCAAGCAGGATTAATATGCTACCTAAGTAGTCCACCACTAGCAATGGTTTACGTACTTCACGCCGCTGGCGAGTATTGTAATTTGTTTATGTTTTAAAGATTACCATTTCATTTCTAACCTGCATTTTGTTTATCCCTCATTCAGTACCCTTTTCTAAGTTACAACACTTTGTTTGTTTGTTTCTTTCTTTCTTTCTCAGTCTCTTCATATCTATCTATCTATCTATCTATCTATCTATCTATCGATGTATTTCAGTTTGTTCCTATCTATCTGTTCATATTTATTTCTTCTTTCTGTTATATACTGTACCTATGAACACTAATAGGTATGTCCCAATCCTCACGTTGGACACTATTGTTAGTAGGGGCAATATGCTAAGTAGTCCACCCCTTGCAGTTGTTTACCTACTTCACGCCGCTGGTGAGTATTGCATTTTGTTGATGTTATAAAGATTACCATTTCATTTCCAAGTTTCCGTTTTAGTTATTCCTAATTCAGTAACCCTTTCTAGGTTACAATAATATGGCAGAGGGTATGTTCAAATATTTACCGATGCAATACGAGAACTTCCGCAGGTAATTTATATTTATAGAGCTCCCAAAAAGCTCATTCAGTTATTAAATTAGGAATTTAAATAAGAAAATCGTTTAATTTTCACGGGTAAAAGTAGTTATTGTAATAAAGAAGTGATTTCGGTAATTGTTGTTTCAATGACGATATGGTCACCAGGTTTCAAATCTAAATAGTTTGTGGTTTTATAATAGTATATTTACTAGAAAATAGATACCTTTTAAATACAGAAGTCATCAAAATGACTTCAAATAATGGCACACTTCGGTTTACATTGCTTTCCCATTATCCATGGGTTGTTAGCAGACGAAAAGCAAAATTGGCCCACGGGACATTGATGTTTATTTGTGTGCATATATGGGTTTTTTTGTCGATAACAAACCTAGAAATGTTTATAAAAAATTAAAAAAAATAAATTTAAATAATTTATTTATTATCCAATTCTGGAAATTTCGATATTTTTTTAAGAATCTGATTCTTTTAGGGTTTAAAATATATTTTGTTTTTGTATAAGACATTCTGAGTTCATTAGTCAGATTCATGTAGGAGTTCCTCAGACTGATTGACCGAGGAATTTATCATTCCAGCGTCTTATTTCGAAGTTAGTCAAATTGTATATGTATATCTAGTGCCTATGCTTATGTCTACATTAAATGGTATAAGTGAGTCACTCAAGCAAAACTCAGACTTAAGCATATATTTGGCTAAGCCATAATTCCTTTTTTTGTTTATCAACATTATTCTTCAAAAGAGAAAATAATATTACATTTTATTCAATTATATATTCACAATAATATATACATCCTTGTGCAAATTGAAACAAAACGAATAATTCTGTTATTATTTACTTTTTTCACATTCTTCAACTGAAACATGACCCAGTGCACATGTTAGTACTTAGTATGTCCATTCCACGAAGTTGTTCCTTGCAGATTGACCACAGATTCTCGATTGCATTTAAATCAAGAGAGTTTCCGAGCCAGTCTAGTAATTTGATTTGCTCACTGGTAAGTCTGGCCCATGTGTTCGCGCAGCGTTACAAATTTTCGTACGTTTTCTTGGAATAACGTCCATCGAAGAAAATGGCCGTAGGACAACTAATCGACAGTCGAGACAATAGTATCTGGGCGTGATAAAAATCTGATGCAATCACGCATGTCGCAATATTTTTCAAGGCCAACAAATTTCAGCATACACCCTAAAAATAGTTTCATATTGATGCGCACCACTGCAAATGACCATATCTGAGGGAAAATACAAATCGATTACATCCTGTCACACCAGTGCATCTAAAACTGTCCGTATAGTGAAAGAAAGGAAGCTAAAGTGGTTGTTTCAATTATTTTGCTCAATTTGTACTTTAAATGACATCACTCATCAGGTAGCTTTCTCGGTACTTCTTGCGTAAAACACAGGACATGATATGTAAAAGTTTTCGACGAAGTCTTGAATCCGATTTTTATCATAGAAAGTTTATCCCATTATAGCGTTTTTCAGCGATCCAAAAATGTAATACAAGAACAAAAGTACATGCCCTTTGCCCTTTTTTTTCATTGTTAATATAAAATGGCGCAATTAATGTTTGTTTTGGGGTCAAGTTTCGCTGCGTTCTTACATCGTTTACTTGCGTGTTTTTATTGAGTCTTTCGTCTACAAATGAATGCCTTAAATATGGAGGATAGAAAATTGTACTTTCGCCATATTTTGATCTATAAATTTCGGAAAGGGGTAAGCGTCAAAATGTGATTTGGCAAATATCGCCAGTTTGATCAGTCACGGCCCGGGCGTCATTCCTACGCCTATGAAGGTGCTCACCTTGCCCTCGTGAAGAATAAACCAAAGATTTCCACACCATTACTAGATATCTGTGCGCATGAACTTTATGAAGCGCCCGAGTATATTTTGGCTTCTCTCTTTGGGTTTTAAGTGTGAAAATCTTCAGGAGTATTCGATCTGGGACGCCCCGATGAAAAATCTTATGTTGAGTCAAAAATATTTCAGTTGGTCTTTGCCAACTTTATTCTACATAAAACAAATTGTAATCTTTATTCAACTTATTGCAATCACTTATCTATTATCAGAGCATCCCGAGTAAGAAGTTGAACTATATCCGTGCCCTGGGTAAAACGATAAACTACATCCGGTGTCCTGGGTAAAACGATAAACTACATCCGCGTCTTGGGTAAGACGATAAACTACACCCGACAGAAAGGCCTTTCATCTTAGTTACTGGTGTTCACATATCCACTCTGAACCGGGGTGGTAGCACCTGTCAGGGTGCCAGCTATGGGAAAATATTTAACCCCCACCAAATGAGGTCAAAGCACTATGGAAGTATAAAAACAGGTTTTAATACTAGCAGTACGTTTTTGGAAAAATTACTCACCTCCAATACATTATTACCAGCAGTACATTTTTGAAAAAGAATAATATTATCAGCAATACATTTTTGGAAAAAATATCATTATGTACTTTATGAAGAACCCAAGGATATATTGGCCTCTCTCTTTCGGGCTTAAGTGTGAAAATCTACGGCAGTATTAGATCTGGGACGTTCCGATGAAAAGTCTTATGTTGAATCGTAAATATTTCTTTCTCGAAGCAGAAGAAAGACATTGCCGATTAGGTGAGTAATCGTACTTTTTTTTGGCTACTTCACGACCCAGCATCTGTCTTGAAAAACATTCGGCTTACGGCCACATCACACCGGTTCCTGTATGATCACCGAAATTACACAACGTTGAGCTTGGTCAGCACCTACACGAGTGAACGTTTGTGGGGTAGCAGGTGCTATAATCTTGGAGTTTGTGTAACGTACAATGGCTCGGAATTGTTAACCGGAGATCCGAGTTCCAATTCCATTTCGTTTCGTTATATTCACTTACGCGCAAATACCTTTGGAAAAGATATGAATCCACGTCTTCTTTCCTCCAGCTATGGGTTAATTAGTAAGATTCATATCTCTAAAACCATTATAATCTCTAAAGAAGTAAAATATAAGAATATTATTCTGGTTTAAATCACATGCTAATGGTTAATAAGCCGTCAAATACGAATCAACATTATCTAAGGGCAGACAAAGTCAGAGAATGTGACGCGTAGATAACTAGCTCATACTTTTTTTTATAATATATCAGGTCATCCCTGTCCGAATTTTGAATAAAGAAAACAAGTGACCAAATGTTACATTTAATTACAGATTCAATCAACAATGTATTTTCCCTGATTATCTATGACTTCCTGCCATCTATTAACAAGCTTACTAATTCCATTACTGTAAAATTCTTTTGGCTTTGATCCGAAGAACTCACAAATGTCAGTTTTAACCTCTTCCTGCGTTACAAAAGCTGTTTCTTCCAAATGATTCTGTAAGCTACGAAACAAATGGTAGTCTGAAGGAGCAAGATCGGGAGAATAAGGTGGATGAGGAATTTTCTCCCAACCAAGTTCTTCGATCTTTTGTGACGTTATTCTTGCTGTGTGGGGTCGCGCATTGTCCTGATGAAACATCACCTCTTTTCGATTCACTAGAGCAAGTCTTTTTTTCCTCAAAGCTTGGTTCAAACGCTCTAATTGCCGACTGTATATTTGAGCATTAATTGTTGCATGAGGTGGTAAGAATTCAAAGTGGATTATTCCTTGGCGATCCCACCAGATTGAAAGAACATTTTTCTCATGAAGTTCCCTTCTCGGCTGTGGCTGGGGTCCTTCCCCTTTACCAAGCCACTGTCTACGACGCTTAACAATTCGATAAAAGATCCATTTTTCGTCGCCAGTCACAAGT